TCTTCATATAACCCAGCTTCTCGGATTATTTGTTCAGCATACAGTTTGAATAACTATGGTGAAAGAGTACAACCTTGTTGCACACCTTTCTTAGGAATGCAATAGTTAAAGCAAATAGAGGTAAATACTATTAACTGATGGTACACTGAGGGGATTGAAATCATTGTAATAAAGCAAAGTATGTAATTTGTTGAATGTAAAACTGATGTTCTGTTCTATAAACCTTCATTCAATGCACAATAAAAAGTTTTGGGTTTTTTTTTTTTGGAAAAAGGAAGTAATCTGAGCTTAGGGAACCAAAATCTTTTATAATGGGTACTAAGCATGCTGCCCATTGACCTGGAAGGAAGTAGTATATCTGTCTTTAAAGGCCGTTTGTTGTACAATCAGATAGCTTAGAACAAAGGCAGTTCCTGCTTTTGCATGCAAGACATTCAGAAAAGCAAGAACTTTGTGGAGAATTGTCTCCCAACATTTGGTTAAAAATGTTTCTTTAAATTTAACTTTAGTTTTACTTTTTATAACACCTGAATAGATGCCAAAGCTCTCAGAGTTTGGGGGTAGGATGAGGTGATGGTGCTGAATTTTAGGCCAAATGGCCTCTTGACAACTTGGAAGTCCCTAGACTATACTGGGGCGTTATTGGAGCTCTGCAGACTCTGGGTACCCAGGCCATAAGCCACCCCTCAGTTATAGGAACATGCTCCACTTTTGTTCACATCAGCCTTCCAATTACTGAATTATAAGCATGCATCACATGAAGATATGCAAAGCCCCTTCGTAAGTGCTGGCTAATTTAATTCTTGCCACACCCTTTGGAAAAATAACTTAATGGTCCCAGCTTTGCTTATTGAGAGCTCTGAGGCCCATAAAGGGGCTATGATTTGCTTGGTGTGGCACTATAGAATAAGCACGGGACTGCAAACCACAAGGTCGGTGGTTCAAACCCACCAACTGCTCCTTGGAAACCCTGTAATGGGTTTGAATCGGAACCTAACTCAATGGCACCTAACAACAACAAGTGTCAAGAAAGGGATGGAACTACAGTTTGAATCCAGGAATTCTCTACTATTTTCTCTCACCCACTGAAGGCAATTGTAAGCAGGGCAGCCCTCTCAGCCAGAAGGCTGTTGTCTTTTATGCCTTTTTGGTGTTCTGACAAATATGGGGATCTTCATTCATTCTCATAAAACTAAAGTGAGATAATGGTGGGATAGACTCAGCAAGTGGAAAGGGGGAGAGAAGAGCCTACCTCATTGATACCCCAGGAACAGGGTGGGTACCCCTCAGAGAACCTCAAGAGGAAAGAGGCATAGGTAGTAGGAGACAGGGTAAGGTCCACAACCAGAAGGAGGCTCTCTGTGGACAGCTTCAGGGGAGGAGCCTAAGGGGAGCCTGCAGTTGGGGTGAGGGCACCCAAGCTGTACCCCAGCCCTTCCTGTCAAGCTAATAACTCTAGTTGTGATTTGATCTTAGTTTCCATGCTCCATGTAGGAGGGAGGGCATTCTGGAACTCTTCCTTTCTTGGGCAGGCTGGCTTCTGGGGCATGCCTCTTACATCTTCACCACCTCTTTCTGGACATGGTCTTTCACGCAAAGAATCCCCAGGCTTGTAGGAAACACAGATCCTAACCCCAGTAATGGCAGTGTGACCAGTGCTGGGCTCAGGGATATCCGAGGGACTGTGGGAGAACCAAGGAGGGAACAACATTGGAGCTAGGCAGAGAAGGAATGAGAGCATTTGGGTGAGAGCAAGTGGAGTGTGTGTGGCGTGGCGTGCCTCCCTGCCTTCTCTGCTCCAGTCCCACAGGCTGCCTGTCAGTTCCCCTGATACAGAACTCCTCAAACTATCCATGGTGAAGGATCAATTTAAACATTTTCCAGTCTGTCATGATTTAGTACTTTTGTACTAGATACTATAAAATGAATTACTGGAAAAATTAAACAAGAAAAACAAGATAAACCATTCACACATCCAAATGTTTTCTTATTAGAGTTAACACATGTAAAATTGTTCTGTCCATTGGTTATAAAAGTTTCTAAACTCATAATCTCATTTCTGTGACGAGAAGGATTGGTAATGTGTGGTTTGGACATGTGTGTTTGCAGACCACAGTTAGAGAAGCACTGCTTGAACTCACCAAGTTTCTTCTCACATCCAGCCCTTTGCACTCACTGTTTGCTTTGCCTGGAATGTCCTTCCTCTGCCATCTTTGTCTAATTTGTGCTCCTTGATCAGAGCTCAGCTCAAATAAAGGTTCCTAATCCTGGCAGCTTTCCCTAGTCCACATCCGCTCCCAGATAAAGTCAAGTCTCCTGTCATTAAAGATCTGGGTACCTACGTGTTTCTGTCTGTGTTCCCTGATAGCCTGTGAAGGATAGGAGGGTCCATGTCTGTCTTGCTCATCTTTGTCTTTATTGGCTATCCCAGGGCCTGCCCACAGTAATATCTGCTGAGGCCAAAAGGAGTGTCAAGGGCAGATCACAGAGTGCTTGGCTGCCAGGCTCAGGAGATGAGAGGCCACATAGGGGTTATGAGGAACCTCAGAAAAGTATATGTTGTTGTGTGTCATTGAGTCAGTTCCAAGTCAGCACAATCCTATAGGACACCCCATAGGGTGTCCTAAGCAGGAAATCTTATGGGAACAGATAACTAAATCTCTTCTCCTATGAAGCACCTGGAAGACTGGCCATGTGGTTAGCAGCACTTAATCATTATGTTGAAAATTATCTACCAATGGTCAAAGCTGTGCTTGGGGAAACCAGTTTTCGTGGTCACAAAGACAACAGAGCAAAGCTGCAAGTTTCCCACTTAACACCTTGGAACAGTAATCATCATTGCTGATATTCACGAAGCTCTTTCTGTGTGTTCACTTTGTACCAAGCCCAGTCAAGACATTACTGCTCCTTATCACACTTGTTAGGAGCTCTGGTAGCGTAGTGGTTACAAATCGGGCTGCTAACTTTAAAGTCAGCAGTTTGAAACTATCAGCTATTCCGCAGGAGAAAGATGAAGCTTTCTGCTGCTGTAAGATGAATAGCCTCGGAAAACTTATTACAGGGAAGTTGTGAGTTGGAACCCACTCCATGGCACATAACCACCACTGCATCATACTTGTTGCTCTATTTCTCAGAGAAGGAAGCTGAAACACCAAGGGGTGTACCTGCAAGGATCTCTAACTGTGCTCACAAAGCCCTGGGGCCTTCAGGACAGCTGTCAAGGGCCTGCTGAGCAGGGTTGAGGGTGGGGAGAGCAGACAAGGCTCTGGGCCCCTATCTCTGTTTCCATCAGAGCCTTCCACCACCCCTTTTTTTTGTTTTAGAGATCAGATTCCACTCAGAGAAAAGCTACTTGGCTTAATTTTCTCCCTGGTTTAAACCATTTGAACATCCCTGGATGGATGGAAGTAAAACTGTTTTGGAAATAGCTGGTCAAGGCCAGATAGGAACACTGGCTCTCCTTGGGCCTTGAGAAATGCTGCAGGGCTCAGAGTGGGGCCATGCAATAGGGTGGGCCCCAGGAACTGCCCTTCCCTACAGGCCAGGGAAGGTTGATTTCCCAACCAGCCCCTTGTGCCAGGGTTTCCTTGACACTCCTGTGGGTATCTTGGTCATCTGGAAGGGAGTGTTATATCCTGATTAAGTACAGCTGAGAGGAGGAGAGGCGCAACAGCTGTAGGGAAAAGCCCAGGGCCGGGCAGGGCAGACTGGAGATTGTTCCAGGCTCTGTTGCTGACCTACTGTGCAGGCCCCTCCCCCTCCAGAGGCCTCAGTTTACCCCATATGAACACAAGACAGGAGCGGTAATGTGATCGGAAAGTGGCTGGGCTGTGCTCTTGATTCCACTAATTAACAGCTGAGTGGCTTTGGGTTGCACCTCTCTAAACTGCAGCTTTCCAATCTGTAAAATGAGGATAAGACTAGTTCATACCTTGACTTAGATTGAGTCTCCACAAACAGACCCTGAGGCGAGGATCCATGTGCAAGTGATTTATTATAAGCGTGCTCCCAGGAGAAACTGATAATGAAGAGGAAGAAGCAGGATAGGGAAGGGACAGAAGCCCAGAGTCCCAGCCTCAGCGGGGGTCGATCCCCAGGGGAGCCTGGAGTGTGACTCACAGCTCAGTGTCCCCACTGGAGCAAGCAAGCTGGGTTCATAGACACCAACACCTGAATTAGTCATTGCCTAAGGGCCACCCTGGGGGGACATACACCCCCAGACACTTCTGGGACACAATGGCTCCAATAGCCATTGTAACTCTCCAAAGAGAGTTACAATTGCAAACCGCTAGACAAGGATAGGCACAGACAAAGTGAGAGGGGTCTCAGGGGCTCTGGATGGAATTCCTTCAAGGCCCATGACACACCTCATGGGATTGTCGTCAATATTAAGTGAAAGAAGTCATTGAAGGCCTAGCACAGTACTCAAAAGATGGAAACTGTTGCTTTTCTATGATTATTAACAGGCTGCGTCTAGTAAGCACTACAGGTGCTTCTGAGGTTTGGGGGTCTGGTGTTCTTAGCTGCTCTGGGGCTCCCCTAATTCTAGCCCTGTCTCTGGCAGCTGCAGTCCATGGTAGATCTCCTGGAGGGCACCCTGTACAGCATGGACCTGGTGAAAGTGCACGCTTACATCCACAAAGTGGCTTCTCAGATGAACACCCTGGAAGAGGTAAGGATGAGCACAAGGCAAAGGCCAGGCAGGTGCAGTAATGGGGGTCAAGGACAGAATCCGAGGGGGCCTAGGCCATTCTGGCTTGACTCTGGTGGCCATTGTAAGGTGGACTTCAGCAGATACAAGCCACAGGTCCAGTCTTTGGGAAGAGATCTGACTAGTCCTTGGGGCCTTTCAGGAAGCTTGAAGGCTACAGAAACTGAAATACCTGCTGGCAGTACAGAAATGGTTTGGAGGGGGCTACAACTCTTTGGTGCTCACAGGTCACCAGGACCAGGACATTGCACAACTCCTGACACACCATTCACATAGAACGGCACACTCATGGTGCCCCCTGTATCATGCAGCATGGCAGGACTGCCACAAGGGCCAGGCTGTATGACTACCTAGCACCTACCTGCAGTGGAGGCAGAGGTGCTGAGCATCAGCTTCTGGTCAGGGCAAATGTGTACAGAGCTGGGTGGGTAGCTAGGACTGCCTGCTGACAGCAGTCACAGAGCTGAGTGAGTGTGGGTGGCCTGGCAGTCCAAGCTTCAGGTTTGCATATCTGCTGGCACAGTCTGGCCACCGCCTGTTTCCTGCATCCGGCTCCTGCTGGGCAGCTTGGAACCTGGGGACATGCAGCTGCCAGGAGCAAGCTTGGGGGCTTCCTTTCCCAGCTTCCTTTCCAGAGGGAGGGGGCACCTGGGCATCCTGTGCCCCAGGGTGAGAGGTTAACCCTTTATTAATCCCAAAATTGAGGTGACTGATATTTAAAATGTGTTTGGTGAGCACCTGCCATTTGCCAACATGCCCGCCTGGCAGAAAGGTAGTATTTGTTAAATTTCTGTCATGCATCAGTGTTTCCTGTACATGCCAGGCTTACCACTGTTGGCTCAGCAGTTCCCCTCCTCTGACCTTTATCTTACAGTCTCAAGAAATACTAACTCATTTCATATAATAATTCTGAGCTAGATCATTTGCAGGGTATGCCTGCTAGGCCCAGAACACATCAGAAATGATCTCCAACACCACAGACAAGTGATATGTTAATTATTTTCTGTTTTGCCTTATCTGTGCTTTGCTTCTGTTAACCATGGTTTACAATGTGATAAGCCTATGGAGAAGAAAAAGCTTTTTGCTAACCGGACAACTAGATGGAGAGGAGACCAGCCTCACTCGGGAGGAGCTATATTCCTCTGCCAAAGAGAAAACATCCCAGGGGAAAAGCCACAATTTGAAGCCCAAGATTCCCTCTTTCTTCCCTTATACCAAGGACTCTCAGCCAGGAGTGATTTTATTTCCCAGTGGGATATTTGGCAATGTCTGGTGACATTTTTGGTTGTCACAATTTGAAGAGTAGAGGAAGAGGCCAGGGATGCTGCTAAACTAAACATCTCACAACACACAGAACAGTCTCCTATAGTGCTAAAGTTGAGAAATCCTGCTTTATACACTTTGACTTCTATTCTTCCTGTGCTGGTGAAAGATGAGGCTTTCTGCTCTTGCAAAGATTTATAATCTCAGAAACTCTATACAGGGTAGCTATGAGTCGGAACTGATTCAACGACACTTAACAACAGTGTTCTCCAGGTTCATCCATGTTTGGAGGTGTTTCACCTTTTGTATTTTTTAAATCTAGAATCATGACCATGCATCTTTTATTTTGAAATTAATACATTTATTATCTTTAAAAGAAAAATAACTGCAGGCTTCTTTAGCAGCTTGCTGTATTCCACAGATGCTTGCTAGTGCCACTGCCACCGCCACCTCCAAGCCCTGGGGGTCAGGAGATTGGGCAGCAAAACCTCATGACAGAAGTTGGGGGTGTCCCCCCAGGTGAGGTGCCTAAGGAAGCTGGTAGAGGAAAAATGTTGGGTCCCACTCCCACAGAGTATCAAGACCAATCTGAGTCGGGAGAATGAGGTGGTAAGGGAGAGCATGCGCCACCTCAGTGACCAGCTGAAGCACTATGAGAACCAGTCAGCCATCATGATGAGCATCAAGAAGGAGCTCTCCAGCCTGGGCCTCCAGCTGCTGCAGAAGGACCAAGCCACTGCCCCTGCTGCCGCCGTAGCCGCAGGCCTTGATAGCAAGGCTCAGGTGAGGTCATGCTTCTGATTATAAACCCACAAAATGGGTGGACTTGGATGTACAGTGTGCTGAGAACTCCATCCTGAGAGCCAGCCTGATGAGGGTTTAAAGTTGTAGGACAGGGATGAGTGGCAGGGTGGAGGGGGGAGTTACCTGTCAAGCAGTAAGGACAGGTGAGCTAAGGGCAGATGGAGGGATCCAGCCAAGGGACCTGATCCCAAAGCCAGGCATTTGGCAGGTATTCTCATTCCCAGCTTCCAAACTAGCGGACATGAGGTTGTAGAGATGACCCCTCCTCGCCTGGCCCTAGGAAAGCAGGCCGACTGCAGTAAAATCACTTCTTGGCCCTCATGTAGTGGCTGGACCCCTGGCTAGATCAGGCCTGCTGAGGGCCAGGATGGTGAGCAACGCCTCAGGGATCCCTGCACACTAACACCTGTTCATCCAGTCCACCCAGGGGTGGGAAAGCTCCTGCTGCCACAGTTCAAACATTGCACTTTCAAGTTCAGAGTAGGAAATGAGCAGAGGCAATGGTTTTGCCACTAGTCAGAGCCACCTGTGACATAGAACACACCTTTTGCAAATTTGGAAAAGGCACTTCCTTTAGACAGATTACAGAAAGAGTCTCTTCCTGTGAACAGAGAACTTGGAAAAAGGAGCCTCCTCTGGATGGACAAATTATAAAAACCCACCTCCCTGTGACAGATATACACCAGGGAGTATATCTAATACAGATTTTCCCAACCCCACTCCTGTCCTTTCAAGGAGCCCTGGTGGTGCTATGGGTTAGGCATTAGGCTGCTAACCACAAGGTTGATGGCTCAAACCCATTTGTAGAAGAAAGATGAGGCTATCAGCTCCCACAAAGATTTACACTTTCAGTCCCAATATTAGGTTGCTATGAGTCAGAATCAACTCAGTGGTAGTAGGTTTGGATTTTCCTGTCCCTTCAGACAGGTGCAGAACACAACTTACACAACCATACACAATGATCTTGTTCTTAGATTGGCATGGGAAGAAGGAAGCTATCCGTAGAACCCCTACTCTAAATCTGACTTTTTTCAGACATTATCTTAGTTAATTCCATAACCACCTGTGAGGAGGGGTGATCATTGCCCAGTTGGCAATGAAAAAAACATGGAAAGGGGTGACGCAGACAGAGGGTGTCTGGGCTGGGCTTTGTATAACGCTAAACCTGTGTTCTTCCTCGCCACCTCTCAAGCTCTTGTGCTGACACTGAGATAATGGGGTCATTTGGGTCTTTATCTGCCTAGATACAGATAAAGCATGAAGGAAGTCTGGTGCCTTAGCCCAGAACTGTCTTCCTGTTCACTCCAGTGCCAACTGGGCAGGCGAGAATGAGTCCTGTTTTGGCAATGACACTGAACATGTCTAGATACTGTACTTACCGTATCTCACGGAGATTCTGCCTAACAATGGATGATATCACGGGTCCTGTGTTCTTGTGCCAAGCCAGTATCAAAGGCATTTAAAAGGAAGTAAAATAGAACAAAATTAGCAAAATGTTAGAAACTGCATGTCCTACGGTGACCAACCATCCTGAAGCGTTTTCCATGATGTGGAACCTTTGATGTTAAAACTGGGAAAATTCTGAGCACACTGAGTTGAGTTGGCCACCTGATCCAGGGGCCTTAGAACCTCTCCTCTGTGAATAAGAGAGATGGGGCTGGGAAGCTCGCCAGGAAGCTGATCAGAACAAGTCTACCCCAGGAGAGGAGTAGTAAACAGAGCTGAGAAGTGGGTCAGGAATCTATACCTTTTCAGACTGGGTTTCAAACATGCAGGGGAACTAGAGAGCTGAGTAAGGAAACTGAGGTACCTCTAGTCATGAATGGAGCATCCATGAGATGATGGCATAAAAGAAGTTCTGACTTTATGACATTTGGATATAAGGCCGAAGCAGCATGACTAATACCAGTCCCCACATGCTAAGATTCCATGACCACCTGGGAGGGGTCCATACTGAGACCCCCACCCCCAACATCCTTTATTTAAAAAGACCACCCAAACTTGCTGATATGGAGTTGATACTGACTCAGTGATACTATAGGACAGAATAGAACTGCCCCATAGGGTTTCCAAGACTGCTACATCTTTTTCCCATGGAGTAGCTGGTAGATTTGAACCACTGCTATTTTGGTTAGCAGCTAAGCACTTAGCCACAGAGCCACCAGGGTGCCTATATTCCTCTACCACCTCCCAAATTTCAGACTTCCTTTCTCTCCCAGGATACAGCTGGGGGAAAAGGCAAGGACACCAACAAATATGGCAGCGTGCAGAAGAGTTTTATAGACAAGAGCATCCCAAAACCCCCTAAGGAGAAGCCGCTGAAGACGGAGAAGCTGAGGAAGGAGGGTGGTAAGGGCCGATTTCCCCAGCCCACAGTCAAGCCCCGGGCCCTGGCCCAGCAGCAAGCCGTGATCCGAGGCATCACGTACTACAAGGCGGGCAGGCAGGAGACAACCAAGGCTGTGGCTGGTGAGTTGGAGGGAGATTGGAAACAGGGGTGGGGACTTACTGGGATGGACCACGATGAACTCTTTGTCTGCTTTATAGTTGGACAGTCTCAGATTTCAGCTCCACTGATAATGACTTGTTGGGTGCCCTTTGCTCTTCCATGATATGGGGACAATACTGTCCTGATGGGGCTTTTGAGAATTGGGTGATATAACCACCATGAAGAGCCACTTGGTTCCTCTCCTGTATTTGAAGCTGTCTCCACCCTTACTGGACCTTGTCTTAGTCATTCAGAGGTTTTCTGTACTATGTGAGGTGACAAGGAATAAGATAGATACAGTTGCTGTTTCCATGGAACTTTCAGAACACACTGTGACCAAGCAACTCCCACAGGTGGGGGGCAGGATATTACAAGAGCTGCAGCCAGGCTAGGTCATATGGGAGGTGACATGGGGTCTTGGAGCACCTCATTTGCAGACTAGCCTTGGAATGATGGGCTTTCCATCTCCTCCCACTTCTGATGTCTCCAAAGAAAAGCTTGTGTGGAGTCCTGTATTCCCTCTGCAGTTCCCTGCAGGATCCCAGTGGAAGCAACAAAGTAATTCACCAAGAAACAAGACACAAAAAGTTACAAAACCCGAAAACCTGTAAGTGGATTCCAGCACATAGTGACCCTACAGGACAAAACTGCCCCATAGTGTTTCTGAGACTGTAAATCTTTACAGAAGCAGACTTCTTCATCTTTCTCCAAAAATTTCCAATCTGTCTCTCCTGGTTTGCGCTCTTGATTCCACCTCAGAGGCCCTCCCCAGATGCCTGCTCACCTCTAATGTCTCTGAGGAGAGCTTCTGCTCCCCACTTCCTGGGCCCTGCTGACCATTTCCCTCAGTGAAGCTGTCTGTCCAGGCAAGGGAGGTGGGACAGTTAAGGATCAGTCTCCTTCAAGAGCCTCCTCATTTCTTGGTCTCTTTGGGGCCTCCTGGGTGGCCTCTTAGCCATCACCATCCCCCCAGCATCTGATGCCAGCTGCAGGCCCCAAGCTGTGCCAGAACCTCTGACCCCTGGCCAAGGTACAGTCCCAGAACAGCTGCGGGCATCCATGGGAACAAGCCCCCTGACCTGGCAGGCTGTCAAAACAAGGCTCCCCAGAGGGTTGCTCCCATAGCAGGGCCTGGCTAAATCCCTGGGCAAAGAGGGAGCCCAGCACAGTGAGAAAAAGGAGTCAGGTCATAATTGTCTTCAAGTCAGGGGGCCTCTATGGCCCTCCCACAGCTGACCAGGCTCTCCTCTAGCTGACCAGGCCATCATTGCAACAGTGCCAGTCCTTTGTCCTTGACATCACAGTTTTCTAATGCTTTCACATCTGCACATAGCCCCTAATAGCAAGCACATTTTACAGGTGAGGAAACAAGCTCAAAGAGGTGAAGTGAATGACTAGCCCCAGGTTTCACAGTGAGGAGATGGTGAAGTGGGGCTGGAACCCCTACTCCACTCTGTCCCCGGAGCTGAGAAGTCTTTGTCCCCTGGCTGTGTGGCATTGAGTCTTCCTGCTTCCCTACCCAGACCAAATTCATCCTGGCCCAGAGAGGTGTATGGGTTGGCAATGACCCAGAGATGGCCTGGAAACCAGGCTACATGGGAGCTGGAAAAGCCCTCCCCTTGCTAGCTAGGGTGGGAAGAGGGAAGCAGAGGCCAGGAACACCTGAGAGATGGGAATAAGCAAAGGGATGGAGAAAGGGACAAAGACCTGGGTCAGAGGTGACAGGAAGCTGGCTGCATTTGCTCTTCCTGCCTGAGGTGAGTGAAGCTGAAGGGTAGGTTCAAGGAGAGAAAAAAAGGAGAAAGTCCACAAAATGAGGTAAGGATTTCTGCCTCTTGCAACTGAATTTAAGAGATGAGAGAATTGGCACAAAGTGCTTAACATTCAGCAGGGGAAAAGGTCTCATTTAGTACCACATATGTGCCCGGATCTAAGCAAACATTTTATATACTTTTTCCTCCAATCAGTATAATAGCTAAACATGGTGACACCCATTGCTCCCACTTTACAGAGGAAGAAGTGGAAGGCCTACAGACACTAGAGGACTTGTGGAGGTCACCCAGCTTGAAAGTAGTAGAGTCCAGCTTGGAGATTGGCCTAGTATATGTGAAATCCTCCCCCTGACCTCCTAGGCAGGGCCCCAGGGAACAGCAAGTACTAGGATATTAACTCAGGGTCTTTTCTCCTCAGACAACACCCTCAAGGGCACTTCCTGGCTGGAGCAGCTGCCACCCAAGGCGGAGGGCAGGCCACCTGAGTCCAACTCAGCGGAGCAGGATGAGGCTGCACCCAGGACCTCAGAGGGAACAGACATGACTCCCAGCACCCCCACCCCTGACCCTACCACCACTCCTACCCAGACTCCCACCACCAGTCTGCTGCCCACTGTGTTGCCTTCATACGTGGAAGTCCCCAGCCAAGGTAAGTAAGCTTCACAAGGGCCCACAAATTACAGCCTGCACATTAGGTCTAGCCTGCAGCCTGTTTTTATATGGTCCTCAAGCTAAGAATCATATTTTTCTATTTTTAAAGAGTTGTAATAATAATAATAATAATAAATACCTTGTAACCTGCAAACCTAAAATGTTTACCGTCTGACCTTTTACAAGAAAATGTGCCAACATTTTATATATTATAAAGCAAGAATATCCTCAGCAAATTTTCTAGAATCCCATCATCAAATTCCCATCAACAACCACTTCTATGTCTTAATTTCCTCCGTCCAGTCTTTGCTGTCGTTAAGTGCCATTGAGTCAGTTCCCACATATTATGGCCCTGTATACTGTTTCTGAGATGTGGCTGTGGTGAGTTTGCAGTTCAAACCAACCTTGCAGTCCAATGCTTACCCTACAGCGCAACACCAGGACTCTGGTCTTTAACCTTCTGTTTTTATGTTCACATTTGTAGTTTGGGTTTGTGGAAATAGTCAAAACCTTCCTCATCACTAAGTCACTGATTCTATCTTTCTGGAAGGTATCTTGGCTACCTGTGAGAACAGGCATTAGAACTACTTCCCGTTTTGGGCTGAGTGCATTCCACTTCTAGCAATCTTTGCTGAAGGAGCCATCGGCAATATGGCCTACAGCTGAAGCTGTAACTGTCTTCACCAGTGCTATTTCTAATGTTATGAAACTGGGAATAACCTAAAGGTCTAACACTGGGGGCTGGTTAAATAAATTAAAGGACACAGCTGGCCATGGTAGAACCTTGAAATCACATCATTAGAGGGCTATTTAATGATGTGAGAAATTGCACGGTGGAGGGAAAAAGCCCAGGATACATAAAATTGTATACTAAGAAGAATAACAGTGTTTTAAAGTATGCTTGCGTGACTGTACATGCAAAAGGGAAAGAAAGAAAAAGGAGGAAATATGAGATGTTTTAAAATATCTTTGGATATTGGAATTTTGAATGTTTTTTATTTGCCTGTTCTCCTTTTCTGAATTTCTGTGTTTTCTACAATGATCAGACATTACTTTAATCATGAGAAGAAAGCAAAAAAAGTCCACCAACAAAACATCAGGAGGGATTTAATTTAGACCTTGATGATGTTCCTGGGATCTTTGCTCTAGCTTTAGGCACCAATGCCTAAAGTCTGTGCACCAAATGCCTCTCACTCTCCACAGGCAGAGAGGTGAGCTGTGAGGGTACCCTCCGGGCCGTCGACCCTCCTGTGAGACACCACAGCTATGGGCGCCATGAGGGTGCCTGGATGAAGGACCCTGGAGCTCAGGATGACAGGATCTACGTCACCAACTACTACTATGGAAACAGCCTAGTGGAGTTCCGCAACCTGGAAAACTTCAAGCAAGGTTGGGGTCCCCAAAGATGGGAAGGGCGCAAGATGTAGGTGGCCTAGGGAGGGTCCCCGTGGAAACTTGGCCCTCCTTAGCCTTGTGGTTTCATGTGATCCAGGCACTCCAGGCTGACCCAGCTCCAGATGGCCAGTGCCCTAAAGAGAGAGTCTGGGAACACTGGGCTGAGGGCCCAGTCAGACCCCAGGACACCCTTATGTGCTGAACTATGTCAGGAACTACAATGCAGCCATAAACAAGATGGACATGGGTCCTACCCACTTGGCTATAACTTACTTACCCTGGGAAGAGAACAATAATCATCATTTTTTGTTGAGGGCTTACTATTGCTAGTCACCCTATGCACAAGCTCATGGAATCTTTATAACTCCATGAGCTAAGGGTCATCACCCCATTTTAAAGCAGGGCCCCAGGCCAAAGAGCAGCTGTAGGTCTTAGCACAGGGATGGAAGAGTGGACATTGAGACAGAGCCCCACCCTCCAGAAAGTCTGGTGGGGAAGCCAAAGGCTTAAAGAAGATCACTTCAGTACAATTGTAGAGGGAGCTCTAGGGGCTGTGGAAACCCAACCTGGAAATCAGGGAAGGCTTCCCAGAGGAGGTGATGCTGAGCTGAGCACTAGAGGAAGAGCAAAAGTAGAAAGGAATACAGCCGAAAGAAGAGTATTTCAGGCAGCCGGCTCAGCATGCCTGGTGATGGAAGGGAGCATGGTGGTATAGGGAGAGGGTGTAGAGGGTAGGGTATGTGAGTGGGCTGGGACAGTCCTAGTAAGCAACATGAAGGAGTTTGGACAGCTAAAGTTCTTACTCTGCCAGGCCAAAATTGACCTGGCCCCTGCCTCAAGGATCTCACAGGCTGGTGGAAGAAGCTGGTGATCAGGTCCAAGATAAAAGCTTATGGGAGTCCAGAGGAGGGGCCCCTTCCTCAGCCTGGGGAGGTCAGGGAGGGCTTCTTTTTTTTAGGGTTTTTTTTTTAAGTTTTTATTGTGAATTAGGTACGTGTACATCACATACAGGATGCCACACACATAGTTTACATGGGAGAACATTAGCTTTACATTCATCCTATCATATTTTGATTCATTGCAATGATTACAGTCCCCTCCATGCATCACCAAACAACCAAAGAGTACCCCCCCCACAACGCCTGCCCCTGGCCACCAGCACACAGCCCCTCTCCCTCCCTGAATCTATAGTCCCCAGCCACTCCATCTCTCCACATTATCATCTCTACCTACATCCCTGGCGTCACTGCTTCTCTGGATAGGGTCCCACACTTCGCTTTTCTCCCTTGATGGTTCCAGGGACCTTTGCTCCTGAACTGCAAAATCAACCACTCCCCTCCTTTTGTTACAAAATGTCTACTTTTACCTTTCGGTCACTCACAGTCAGTCCTGATAGCAATCATCCACTACTGAATCACAAGAGTCTTGTCCCCTTCTCCTTTCATTAGCCTCACCCAGACAGGTTGGAAACCACTCAGTGGAGATTCTACCTTCCCCTGCCCCCTCTGGAACTAGGTTTCCTATTGAAAGCTTGTATGCCATTCACTTCTTGCCTTTGTAGCCCCCCCATTTTGGGAAGCCAATGTCTAAGTTACCCATCATTGTCTACCCTGTTAGGGAGGGCTTCTTGAAGGCAATCATTGTTGTTAAATGTCATCGAGTTGGTTTCCACTCACAGCAACCCTGTATAGGGTTTCCAAGTCTATAAATCTTCTGTGGGAACATAAAGCCTCATCTTTCTCCTGCAGAGCAATTGGTGGTCTCAACCCGCTGAACTTGTAGTTTACAGTCCAGTGTTTATCCTACAGAGCCACTGTGTTCCCACTGAAGGCAATAGTATTGACTAAAAACTCTGAACGATTTGTAGGCAGGTTAGATGGGAAATAGTAATCAGAAGGAACCGCATGTGCAAAGATCTGAGACAAAACATGAATGCCCCCATCAACCCAAGTTTCCCCATTGGCAAACAGGTTAATAATAGTAACTCCCTCATGGACTGTTCTGATGTAATAAGATAATTAGCACAGTTCCAAGCACATAGTGTGGCCTAGTAACAGTTGGTTATGGGGCTGCTCTAGAATGCACACAGGTATGTGGGGTGGGCTGGAGGTTGTTAAAATTGTTGGTGTAACCATCAGCCCTCCACACACAGGCCGGTGGAGCAACATGTACAAGCTTCCTTACAATTGGATAGGCACAGGCCATGTGGTGTACCAGGGCGCCTTCTACTACAACCGTGCCTTCACCAAGAACATCATCAAGTACGACCTGCGGCAGCGCTTTGTGGCCTCCTGGGCGCTGCTGCCTGACGTAGTATATGAGGACACAACACCCTGGAAGTGGCGCGGCCACTCAGACATCGACTTCGCTGTGGATGAGAGTGGCCTATGGGTCATCTACCCCACGGTGGATGACCGCGATGAGGCCCAGCCTGAGGTGATCGTGCTCAGCCGCCTGGATCCGGGCGACCTCTCCGTGCACCGGGAGACCACGTGGAAGACCCGACTGCAGCGAAACTCATACGGGAACTGCTTCCTGGTGTGTGGCATCCTGTATGCGGTGGACACATACAACCATCAGGAAGGCCAGGTTGCCTATGCATTTGACACGCACACGGGCACCGATGCTCGACCCCAACTGCCCTTCCTCAACGAGTATGCCTACACCACCCAGATTGACTACAACCCCAAGGAGCGGGTGCTGTATGCCTGGGACAATGGTCACCAGCTCACCTACACTCTCCACTTTGTGGTCTGAGCAGGGACCTCCTAGGAGAGCTGGGGACAGCCCACGGCAGCTCCTGCAAAGGGCCCTGTCAACAAATATTTCTTGGGTACCAGGCCCAGGGCTAGGTGCTAGGCATGTGGTGGTAGTGGAGATAGAGCTTCCTTAGCACCCAGTGGAATAATAATCACTTCCACTTATAGCTCTGTGCCAAGCGCTTTACATGCATGTATCTATTTCACCCTCCCAACACCACCCTTGGAGGTAGAGGTCATTTCCCCCATTTAATAGATGAGGAGACCATGGCTCACAGGACAGTGTCCCTTGCCTGACTTCTCTGTTTGGATCAAGCAGGTGAGTCCATGTGCTCACAACAACCCCATTTTGCAGATGAGGAGATTTAACCACTCTCCAGCCCGGAGTCTGTTTTGTTCTCACATTTCTCTCTCATTTACCAGGACCATGCAAAACCAGAGGAGTAGAGACCCTGGCTATGCCTGCCACCACCTCAGCCCCAATTCTGACTGGGCTGTTGGTGTCCCTGGACTTCAGGCCCCTTTGGCCAAAGTCCCTACTCCTTTGACCAGCCCTCCACCCCACCCCAACCCCAACCTACCCCATCCCACCCCACCGGCTGTCCGGCCACATTCCAAACCTCCAGCATCACTCAGCCACTGAGTAGTAACCACACCCCAAGAGAAAATACTGGCCCCCTCCCTAGGGTTCTCATTTTTATTTTCTCTTATTCTTCATCAGTGCCGTCATTTGTTTCTGCTGCAGCAGCTGAGAAGGCTGTAGGCAGCTGCTTGCCAGCAGCTACTCCACCAGGGTGGAGAGATGGGCTGGGTCCCAAGGCTCCCTCTCCACCCAGAAGAGCTGGCTTTGGCCACATACTCAGTGCTTAGGTCTCTTCCCTAGACCCTCTCAGAGCCTATGGGCATGGGGTCCACCTTGTCCTTCCTCTCTGGTCCTTCCAACCCACAACCTCTACACACTCAGGGATGTCTCCAGGTCTGCCATGAGCTAGGCCTGAGGCTGGGGTAGTACCAGGATGGAACAGGTTCCCTCTTTCTTGTCCATCCTGATCTGGTCATTTGGTGAGGTGGCCAGCAGCCTAGGGGGTTGGGAAAGACAGGAGAAGAATTGAACCTTCTGATTGCAGGCCAGAGGGCCCAAGTGAAAAAGGAAGGGGCAGGGCATTTCCTGGCTTCAGATATGTTAGAGTGGAGACTCACAGCCAAGGCTATCCAAACCCAGGACATGGGGCTGATGAGGTACAAGGTGACCACCTTGCCAGGTGCTGCTAATGGGCCCCCAAAGCCTTAGATCTAGACTGCCCACAAGGACAGGACCTTTAAGACTGTATCTCATCCATTCTAGGTGGTATTTTTAGAGCTAGAAAGTGCTATAGTCCAACTCCCTGTTTCATCAGTGGGGAATAGACCCAGAAAGGGTAAGCAGTCTGCTTGAGGTCACATTGGGAACAGGACACACTCTTGTTTCAGAAAGACTTTGTGTTTATCTTTTATTCTCTTGACATAGCTTTGCCTGGGAAGGCAATAGACCATCCAGGACTCAAACCATCCCAGCACTTTGAAAGGGTTTTTACTACTGGTCCCTACATATGCCCTGGATCTTCTCTGCTCCACCCACCCTCCAACCCACCCCACCCAGACTCTGCTACCATGTTGGCTCCCAGGACATCTGAAAATTTGTACACCAGCCACCACATTAGTAAATTCAGCTGCATAACCCTCTGGGCTGGGAAAGATGACATCAGTAGTGAGAAGGCCCCAATATGTAAGGAAATGCATTTTGTGCAGAATACATATCTTTCAGGTATTTTTAGGTGATATTTTGTTTGAGCTGTAACTCACCCCTGAAATAAAGGGAATGATGATGCCTAACCAAGCAAGGCCTGACTCATTGTGGTGGACACATCCAGCTCCCTTACCTAACTGGCCACTATAGTTCCACTTATAGACTCTTCAGGGAGCTTTGAGGCCTCAGGGTTTCCCTTAGCTCTGGGTGTGGGTTTTACCAGACTCTGTCTACCATGATATCACAGCCCAGCCATGTAAGAAGTGTTCAGGCACTGCTTTCTTCATTAGTCTGAAAAAGGCAAGTTAGAATGGACAGATAGTGAAACCTAAAAAGTTGTGCTTTCTGAGGGTAGTGGGAGAGGAGATGAGCAGCATCAGAAGTGATGTGGGCTACAGCCTCCAAACATTCACTAAGACCCATCTGCATTCAGACCATTCCACATGGATTAGGTGGTGAGTAGAGTTGTCCTCCTTTCACATATGATCAAAGGAGACCAGAGGAATTAAGTCACTCACATAGGCAGGAAGTGGAGAGGTAGGTCCTAAGTCAGATCATATGACTTCCATTGTCAATTGAGCACGTACACTATGCTACTAGGGCAACAGTGGATGGTATACACTCTGAATATGTTCATTTGAGAAAACTGAGATGAAAAACTTTTACCAAAGGTCACACAGCTGCTTAGTCTATGGCAGTCTCAATTTCAGGGTTGCTTAGAGCAAGTTCCTTGCCACTCACTATGTGGTGCCACTGTAGTGGCAACTCCAAAAGTGGCCAATGTCTTAATCCAGTGTGTCCAGACCATAAACCACACCCAAAAAGGAGACCCAACAAGGAGGTAGAGGCCAACTTGTAAAGAGTCTTGAATACCTACCCAAGGAGTGAGTGTCTCTAATCATGTTTGGAGCAATGTCAAGTATGAACGAATAGAGGAAAGAAAATTCTAGGACAATTGTTTTCGTCCTGTCAATATTGGAAGGCAGAGAATGGTTTTTGTTGAGAGAAACATGAGTTCTAAAGGAAACCTGACTCTCATCAGTTGCTGTTCACCTGCCTCTGAGCTTTATTACATTTGGCAACAGGTACATCAAACAAGGAAAGGCCTGTAGTGGGAAAGTCCAATGTTTCTCTACTAACCTTGGTGGTCAGGGCAAAGGAAGCTGGCTCTGGTGTTTCTAAACAACGGGCTACATAAAGGAGCTCTGGCACCACCTCTAACTCCTCCTAAAGACTTCCAGGCACTGAATTCAATCTGTTGTGTCTAGGGAGGAAAGCAGGGAGTCTCTGCCTTGGAGGACAGCACGGAAGGTGAGGCTGGTGGTCTCCCTGGGAGTGATTTGAGAGTTCCTGAAAGTCTATGTGTCCCAGCCCATCTCTTCCTCCATGGCTGCCCGTAGCATTGGAAAATCACTCTGGCAACCGAGTACACAGTGTCAAAGAGCCCTGGGGTTGGATGTGGCTTTGCCTAAGCATGCTACATATGTGGGTAAGTTCTTTCACCTGCAGGGTAGTACATTAAGTCTTTTACATATGACTTAGGTCAAGGGGCAATAGAGGACTCACTCAGCACTTGAGAACTAGAAGGCACCTTTATGTACATTATCACTAACCCCAGAAACCCCAAAAATTGGCATTATTTTTCCATTACAGATAATGAACTTCAAGTTCAGATGGTTAAGCAACCTGCTCAGCGTCACATAATTAACAAGTTAACAAGTAGCTGAGTCAAAATTAAACCAGGTATCTCCATACCAAAGCCTTAAACTACCTATTGTTAGGAATTTGTAATCAGTCAGGTTTTCTTTGCTTTGGCCACTGGGAAGCTCAAAGTCAAATTTGAGATAATTTAAACAATTTACTGAATCCCCTACTGGGCGCTGGCTTTATTTTGGCATTTTGCTTTTACCTCAACACTGATCTGTTTATATTTTTCTTTTATTGTATTTTATGCATTTTTTATAAGTAGCCACAATACCTTTTTGAAACAAGGTGGCATGAAACAAAATAAAACATAATCCAAAGCTTGGTGTACATTTCTTCACTAACTGCTCCATCATTAAACAAATATATTTAATGCTTTTGAATTTTTTGTCATGCGCTAAGAGTTGGCCTCACCTCTACACCACTGCTGGGAGCTGAACTGAATAATGAGCTATTGCAGAGGAATCAAACTCAGGCTGAAAACCAGATCCTCTGGGTGGAGAGGAATAAAGAACTGTTCCCAAAGGTGTTCAGGCAGCTCCTTCCCCCAGAGAGAAAATCCACCATAGGCAATGCACCTGGTTCAGAGGATGTGGGGCTGAGGGGGAAGTAAGAACAAAAGAAATGCTTTCCTGAGAGAAAGAGAGCATCATGGGATTGAGGAGGGAGTCTTGGAGATGGTTTAGAGCCAGGTTTCCCTATCTTCACTCTACAATGTTTGCCATTTCCCTTTACCATCTGCAGTATGATTTGCTAGTTCTCTTTCAGGTGATTCGATTCTTTTTACTAAAATAATATTGTTTTAAAAGAAAGCATTGTAAGCTCTTGCTCCAAACCTTTCATTAAAAAAAAAAAAAAAAGCTTTATATTACAATAGTACATGGAAAACTGGTATCAATGACTTTAAATAGAAGGTAATCTGGATGGTACACTGGAAACAAAGCAGTGCTAATGCATTTGGGTAGATGATGTACCTGCCTGAGTCCCAGACCCCATGATGGTTCTTTGTTAAAAAGGAAAACTAGCGAATAACAAGTGTTCAAGAGACAGTAAGACCATATCAGCACAAGTGGAGTTTGTCTTTGATGTAATCAGCTGGATGGGATTGAAGAGGAATGACTCTCATGTGACTCAGGTCCTTGCACAAGGTGACTTAGATATCATCAAGGAGCTCTCTGAAACTCTCCATAGGTGACATTGATTTAGACCAACTCCCTTACACACATACAACAAACAGCCCCATTCAGATACCCAACCTCCCCCAACTGCTGGCCAGCCTCTGCAGAGCCTTGGCAGAGACCCTGCCTCATCTGGGGCAGATCTACCAGAAGTTCAGTATCTTTCCTGCTACTGCAGAAGCTGCCAGATATCATGCCTCTCTGGTCCCACAGACCCCACTGGGGCTGACACTGGTTCAAACAGGTCAAACATGGCTGGGCTTTGGATAACTTCAACCATATCCTCTCCCTCAGTCTCCTTCCTCCAGCCCCAGTCCCATCTGCTCTCCA